ATAGCTAAAAGCAAAACAATACTGTATGAAAATAAATAAAAGTAAAACAGAAATACTGGTATGCATAGGAAGACAAAGTAGGGAAAGAGGGAATATAAAGATAGGACGAAAAATTAGAAGTGGCTGGTTTTAGGTATCTAGGAAGTCAGATAAGTCAGGACGGAAGGAGCGGTAGGAATATAAAACAGAGGATAGCGCAGGGTCCAGTCGCCTTCAATAAAAAGTAGTCACTTCTATGTTCGCGAAGGGTTAATTTAGAAATTCGAAAAAATTGTTAAAGGTGTCTGTTTGGGCACGACGGAAAAGAAAAGATTAAAAGCGAAATTTGATGTTACCGACGAATGATGAGGATACCGTGGATACAGAAGGAATAGGAGAATAGAGGACTCTATGGAAGTAAATAAGAAATAGGTGAGATAGGTTAGTAGGACACCTTCTCAGGCATGAAGGTTTAGTCAGAGATATATTAGAGACAGAAACAGGAGGAGTTAAGAGGAGTAGAGGTAGATCTAGATTAGATTACTGTTCGCAAATAGTCAAGGCTGTGGGTTGTTCTAATTTTGGGGAAATGCGAAGATTAGCTCAGGATAGGAAAGAGTGGAGGTGCATGTCCAACCAGTCTTAGGACTGACGGCCTTATGATGATGATAATATGCAAACCAAAAACTATAGATGAAGCTGCCCAATTTCTGGAAGACGGGATGCATAGATCTCCAATATACTAAGATCAAGACGTGTCGACAACCAAAAAATAGATAAAAAAAGGGGCAAACGTGTATTAGTTAGACGAATGCGGAATATTGATTTAGTTTTGTTAAAAACCTTTACGCTTGCATCATACAAAACTGTAGAGATAAATTTCAAATCAAGACAAACCGAAACACACATTATCTATCGCCGACAATTTGTCGAAATGGCAATTTTAGGATTATCGGTTACTACATCATTTTGGACATATCCACTAGAGGTCACACGTGGCGCGTAACGCATGACGCTGTGACGCTTGTCATTACATTTTTCGGTTCCTACCGTCGATAAAGAAGTTCCACTTCAAAAATAATAAACAAGACTAAAACGATTTATTTTTTATTAAAAACGGAAAAGACGCAACGGGAATATTCTATTACATTTAGATGAAATTATCAAAGGGCGGCATAATTGTTTTGTTAAACACAACGTCATCGACGCCATCTTTTCATCTAAACTTAAATCCTTTGGTGCTATGTTTAAAAGATTTTGAGAGTTCGATTAATTAGTCTACAGCATCAGAGAACCAGCTGATATTTTGGGATTTTGATGTGGTTGAAAAAATATATTCCACACATTCACTAAATTATGCATTCGACATAAAAAGGAAAAATGCCGACAAAGAAATGTGCCTTATCTAGTACATAATAGAAAGCAGAAGACAGAAATTGAAGACGCTCATGATCAAACGTAGATGAAAAAAAAAAAGAAATTAGTCGTCACGGGACGCCTAGCAGATGTGAAACGTCGAAATTCCGATATACACACCAATGAAACTAGCAACTATAACGTAGGGTTTACGCACGCGTGGGTCTCAAGTTATTTGTACGGAATAATAAATGAACTGTAAGATTAAATTTTCAAATCAGACGACGCAAAAAATATATAGATATTCTTTATACCTGTGACGAATCAGGTGTTGTACTTTTTCTATTTACGTACGTACGTCGTATCTAGGGTTGCCACCCGTACTTTATTATAAAGTATTGTACTCTATTTCGACTGTGCGTACGTTATATTTTACAAGACACATAAAGTACGCAAAAATACTTTATTTAAGGCCTTAAGTAAACATCTTGTCGAGGATTACCCAGAGAT